GTTACAACCTCCATCTGACGATTGTTCATCGTCAAGATTGATTACAAAGGGTACAATGTCATTTAAAACAAAACCACCATTGTAATCGAATCCGGCTTCGGTATCATCTTCTTCTCCGCTGTCCGTGCCTTGGGCCGATGATTCAGTATCGGATTCGTTACCATAAAGGAGAGAATCGGTGAAATAATTCTCATACCCCTTGAATGGTTGCTTATCCGCGACCACCGTCCTAACCTCATTGTCAGTGTCGACATACTTCAAACACTGATGGAGAGTAGAGGGAATTATCACATTACTATGGATCCAAGGCCGACCCAATAGTAAGTTATATGAAGTCTCGGCATCGATCACATAACATGTGACTTCTGTCTTCAAATCTCCCATTTGACACTTTACCCGGATCTTACCCAAGGGTCTTGACCCACTAGTGTTGAATCCATAAATAACAGTGCCTGTGGACGCCAACTTGCTTACCGGGATGCCGAGAAAATGCATCAAGCGAAGCGGCAATACTCACAGCAGAACCCGGATCGACTTGGATTCGGTTGACTTTGCTGGAGCCGATGTACCCGATGAAGTATAGCGGTCGATCGTGGTTCGAATTCTTCGTCTGCATATCCTCTTTGGTGAAAGTAATGCAGGGAAGGTTCTTAGTCTCTATATTGCAATGTTGATTCAGCATTTCTGGCTCTTCAGGAACCGGTTTGATTTGAGTCAGAAACACCTCTGAATTGGCCAAAGCTTCTTGCAAGGCCTCCCTGGTTTCCTTGGACAACCGCAGCAACTCGTACAGCGTTATCCGTACTGGAATGTTGGCTAGTTGAGCCATTATATCGAAGACTTGTGGAGTCTTCGAGCTTTTCGGTTTGTCTCTTCTAATCGGGCGACTGAAACGAGACTGCTTCGGATTCTGAACCTCCTGGGGATTCTTCTCTTTTGGTGTATTCACCGGCTGTCGTCGAGCCTCTTCCCCCGGTGTAGGACTCGTAATCACCCCCATCTCCGTGAGAGTTTTGGCTGGTCCCCGTTTATTCACCCCCTGCTCGATAGGTGGCGGATAATTGTAATGATACTCGTTTCCGCTCCGTGTCGCAAAAGCTTCTTGTTCTTCTTCAGAGAGCAGGAAAGTGGAGATTCTTTCGTCATCTTCCCCTGGGATAGCAGAGACTCCATAACAAGACTTCCCTTTTCCTTTAGACTTCCTTCCGGATGACGAACCGGCCCATTGTTCATCTTCAATCAGATCTGGATGAACCCAAAGGATTTCGCCATTTGGGGTTGTGTGCGGCACAAGTCCCTTTTGGCGCTGTCCGTGCGGATCGTCATTCACCGTCTTCATCCCGACTTTGGTGACGCGTTTTGGCTCGAACCAAGTTGTAGGCACCGACCCAAAACTGATTGACACTGCGTTGGCCCCCACATTCTTGGCTGGTTTCGGGGTTATGACTCCTACGTCGATTAACGCCTGGATCTTGTCCTTGAGGTGGTAGCATGATCTCGTAGGGTGGTGGACCGCTCTGTGGTAGCTTGTTGCTGCGGCTGGTGCTGAGGTTGCAATTGAAAAGTTTGATTAGCATCAACTGCATTAGCATGTGCCTTACCTTTCCCCCGTGGGACGAAATTCTGTTGCGGAGCATTATTCGCCTGTTGTCCTCTTTCCGCCTTCTTCCTTCTTAGGAATCGCTCTGCTTGCTCTCCTCGGACCTTCAGATCCTTCCATGTCTTGGACAGTGCTGTCCCCATTGCTTCCAACACGTCCAACGCGAGGTTGTTGTGGCAAGTCTGGAGAATGAATTCCTCGGTGATCGGGTCCCGACAGTTCATCGCCTTGTTCCGGAACCTTTTGACAAAGGTGTCAACCAATTCCCCGTCTTTCTGCTTCTCGTCCAGCAACGACCCAATGGATATCTCTGTGTCATCGTCGAAGAAGTTGGTGAGAAACTTAGTCTCCATATCATCCCAGCTGTTCATGCTTCCTAGCTTGAGATGGCGATACCAATCGAAGGCGACTCCACGAAGAGTGCCAACGAAGGACCGTACCATCAGAGGTTCATTACCAGAGATAACCCCCAAGTATGATTTGAAGTAAATCAAATGTTGAGTGGGGGAACCCATCCCATTAAACGGCGTGAAGTTAATTAGGTTGAACTTCGCAGGATATGGGATTGATTCCCACTCTCTTGGGTATGGACAAGGAATGCCTGTTTTCTTCACCTCTTGAGCGGAAATCAATGTGTTGATTTTGCTCTCGAGGTTTTTAATCTTCAAGCTTTCACCCGAGTCTTTGTTGGCATTCTCGTTACCACCCCCTGCATTGACGGGGGGATTATTGGCATTATGCATCTCATTCGCATTTGTGTCCTCATCCTCCAGATTAACCTGGTTGCGACGACTTGGCTCGCCTTGCTGGTTCGTCAATGCTTGGATTTGTTGGTCATGCATTTCTCTCATGTTCTGCATGGCCATCTGCATTTCGAACCTGAAGGTTTCCTGTTGCTTAGCTAAGGCGTCTTCAAGCATCTTGTCCACTTGTTCTGCACTTATCATAAGTGCCTCGCGGGGTTATCCCTCGCTGGATACCGTATTATCTGATGCAACCGCGGAGCCGGCATCAGATTCTTCATCTTCTGAAGGGAGTCTTGTTCGAACCCTACCATAGGTTGCTCGCTTGATGGTTCCGGACTGCACGACTCGAGATTATCCCGTGTCGATGTCCCCTTGCTGGTCATATTGGTGGTGACCCTCAGAAATTCTCCATCTTCAACCACCGTTCTTCTTCGTCGGAAACGCCTAGGCCTTGGTTTTGGCGTTTTGGTACTAAGTCTTTCGAAAACCGAAACTCTTTCGGGGACCGCCTTGATGTAGTTGCACTCAGACAGTACTGCCCGAATGAGTTTGGAACAGGGGCATTGAGTTTCCTGTTCTCGGTGACTCCTCTTCCTGGTTTTACTCGTACCCCCAACACGATAGTACAATTCGTCTGCTTGACCTATCGTGTGTTAGCACGCCTTCTCAGGTATAACATTATCGTCATCAGATGATAATGTTTCCTTCTGAGGGTGAACTGCCTTCTTTGGGCTTTCAAAAGTTACGTGCCTCGAAACATGCCTTTTTGGGCGTGAGTTCTCAGCGGGCTCTTAGACTTCAATGCGCAAATTGGTGCGCGTAGCTGCCCTGATTTCTTTGTCATGTTGGAGGTGATGGCGACCCCCAGCGTGTTGAGTCGTTCTGGGCTTCTTCATCGGGTCCAAACGATTTTGAACAGGAGCTTTGCATCGTCCTTCAGGAAGTGGGCCGAAGCGCTCCAAAACTGGCTTCTTCCTTCGGGATGATTCTGCATGATCTCCCGGAGAAGCTATTGGGATTATCGACGACTTTGGTTGATTCGCTGGTGGTTGAACTTTTGTTGCAAGCTGCTTCGGCCTCCGTACTTGGCGGGTTGGTAATGGCTTTTTGGCCACTCTTTCTTCCTCCAACTTCTTGGCCTCCTGCACAAGAATTTTTGCTTGTGCGAGTAACACGCGGCGTTTGTGAATCCGCTCTTCAAGTGTCGAACGGTTCCGTTTGACCCGGATCCATTCGCTCGTCGGCGACTTGGAGGAGCTGCCATTCTTCAGTTGTTGAGGCTGGTTGCCTCCCCTGTTCTTCAGATCCGCGTTGTAGCGGACTCCGTCTGTAGACTCCATCGCCTTAGCGAATTGCCGCGCAAGGCGTTGACGTCGCCTCTGGCGGGCTCTCTTTGAGAGAGTCACAACGCCCTCAACAGTAGAAGCGTTGACAAGAACAGGTTTGACCTTGTTGGAGGTCGGTGGAACTTCACCCGATGCGACTTTGGCATCAGTTGATGCTTGAAAGCATCAGGAAGTTGAGTTTATTCAAAGGACCAATTGAGAAGGCTGTTCGCGGGGAAAATCGTGTTCTTTATTGATTTCATTGTTCTCTCAAGTAACTGTTTATCGATTACAAAAGATCCGGTCTTTTTATAAGATCCGGTTACAACAAAATCAAAGAAATAAAAATTACAACTTTCCTTGTTTGTCGAACGAATCATGAGATCCTGTTTTGCGGTCTCTCGCTTTTGTGGGTTATTTGCCTACGCCGAGGTAAATCTGTGGACCACCGCGCGATCTAGATCTAGTTGGATCTACGTAGTATGACGGGTATTATTTCGCCAAGGAAATAATAGCCGAGGGTACTATTTCGCCAAGGAAATAGTAGCCTTTAGATCTCGGGATCAAAGGCCAAGCTTTGATCCGGAGGATGACTACGTAGATCTGAGATCCAGTTCCTCCCGAACTCTTGCCTTATTTGGCGTTGACGATCGCCGGCACCGGATCTGGAAGAGCAAGTCCTTAAAGTCCCAAAGCTTCAATCTTTCTAAGTTCTGAGTCTTGAATCGGCAGAGCTTCGCCTCCAAAAGTTCCAACCTCTCAAAATGACACTCAAGGCCTATTTATAGGCTCTCAGATCTGTGCCGGGCACAGATCTGGCCGGCCCACCTATAGGTGGCTTAGGCCACCTAGCACCGTATTTAAGTGGCCTCGGCTTTGGCCGAGCCACCTAGAGGTGGCTCGGTTTTGGCTGAGTCCCCTAGGTGTTGTGGTTTTTGCTATTTTTTCCGGTCTCGTGGTTGATTTGGACTCTGATTTGTTGATCTGAATCCTGATTTGGCAGTAAATCCGCCTCGGTGTTTGAGTTCAAAACCGTCCTATGGTTGGATGACTCGTTGACTCACCAAACTGTTAGCTTGATTCCGCATGCGAATAGATGTATTCCATTGTTTGCATGCGGTTCGTTAGCCTCGTTGCCTCGTTAATCCGCTTCGTTGCGTGTCACTTGGCTTTGGCGTTGTGGACTGACGCTCGTGTTTGGATACGTCGCCCGATGGTTCGTCGGTTTGTGCTGAGCTGTGCTAAGGGACCTATAAGCAATTTTATACACCTACAAAGGCGAGGACCCTCACCATCTTTATCTATAGTCATCACAAGAATTTGTCTATGATGCGTCACATTTGTGACAAAAGGGACATTGTGAGACCTGGAGTTACTCGTTTCGCCACTACATTTTTGACTATGCGGAGTCTTCTTGAGAAGAAATGGAAGTTGAGATTTATGTTTTCCGATGAAGCATGGGTGAGATGCAAGCTTGCAAAGACCGCTAAAGGCGCTAAGGTGGAGGCGATTGCTATGAGTGATAGTTGGTGGACAGCGGTGGCCAAGATCTTGAAGGTGTATGCTCCTATTTTTCGATTGTTGAGGGTAGTCGATAGTGACTACAAACCCTCAATGAGATTTGTGGTAGGGATGCTTGAAGATATGAAGAAGGAGATCATTCAAGTTTTTAAGAATAAGGAGAATGATTTCAAGCCCGTGATTGATATTATAGATTGGAAGTCCAAGGATCGGCTCCTTTCTCCCTTGCATATGGCTTCTTACTACCTCAACCCTTACTATTTCTATAGGGATGATGTAGTGAAGAATTGCAAAAGGGCGAAAGATGGATTTCTAGATGTAGTGGAGTTATTCTATCCTGATGTAGAGCAACAAGTTGAAATTCATAATCAAGAGTTGGAGAGATACAGAGAAGGAAAGGGTTCATTTGCTAGGATTAGAGCGGTGAAGGCTAGAGAGAAATCAGACTTGAACCTGGGTAAAATAATTTTAGAAATTGAATCATTTATGACTTATAAGTTATCTATTGTGCCATTGTGATAGTAAATCAACTAATAATATATTATTTTTTGTAGCTACTTGGTGGTATTTGCATGGTGGTGATTGTCCCTTAATACAAAATATGGCTATGAAACTTCTCAACTTGACAATCAGCTCTTCTGGTTGTGAAAGGAATTAGAGCACATTTGAGGGGTAAACTAATTTCTAAACTTATGAAAAATATGAAATCCATCTTAGTTATGTTTTCTAATTTGTGTCCTTTACTTTCGAAGATTCATACGAAGAAGAGGAATAGATTGGAATCGAAGAGGTTAGAGGAACTGGTCTATGTGAAGTTTAACTCAAAGCTCAACCAGAAGAAGAGGAGAGGAGAAAACAAGAACCTACTACTATCTACTGATCGTAGTAAGGCACGAGCATGGATCCTAGAAGGAGCAGGCTCCGATGATGAGGAAGAAGTTCATCCTGGCTCAGGTCTTACTTGGAGGATGGTAGAGGGTATATCGGGAGCGGCTGAGGCTGCGGAGAATAGGAGGAGTTCTAGGCTAGAAGGACCTTCAAGTGCTTCTACTTCAGTGATGGATGATGAAGAAGAGTGTCTTGTCTCGGATGATGATGTTTCAGACGAGGAGGAGGATTGTGTGGAGATGGATTCTGGAGAGGATAGCGATGATGGAGTAGAGGAGGAACTTCATGATGATGATGTTTGATGATGACATTAGATTAGATGCATATTGCATTATTGCTAATTCATTATATTAGATCTAGACTATTCCCGTTTGACTATCTTTTTGCTGATATTTTGGGACCTAAACTTCTAGTTATTGGATATTATATGCCTTGCCATTTAGTATGTATGCATCTTTGATTGACTATTACAGTTTGGATAGCATATGTGTTGGTATTTTTGTATTTATGCATTGTTGATTTGAGTATATATATTTATCTTCAAGTATCACAATTAAAAAAAACTGCCCAGAAACCGCTTAGGCACCCGCCTAGGCGTCTAAGCGCCTAGGAGCGTCCAACGTTTAATGTAACATTGGTGGCCATATTAACATTCATGTGGTAGTTATTAATCTAAGTGCTAATCCTCTCCTTAGAGTCGACACGTGTCCCAAATCAGCACTAATCATCAGATCAGCTCACCCCAGTCAGGGACGACTCGGGTAGCATGGGCACTCGTCTCCTTCCGAGTAAGGACGAGTCGAGACAAGCTCCCACTCGACCTCATCATTGGACTCGACCTCGCTTACATGACTCAGCGCCGAACAAACAACTTGCGAGGCTGACGAAATAGACAGTACTTATTAACATGTTCGCAGAGCCGATTCGAGAGGTGATTTGTCCTCAAAATCCTCACCAATAGTTGTCCAGCCCGGCCATCATCATCACATCCTATGCCACGAGTCTCCATGAATCATCACCTTTTGTCAGCGCCACGCCCACTCAATCACCATCACCTCAAACTCAGTGATGACTCATCCCGCCTACAGCTGACACCTATCGGCTATATGCTAATTCAGTTGTCTATCTAGACTCGATCATAATTACGCATGTACCCCTCTCAGTTGGGTATATATAAGCTCATCCCGCCTGCAGCTGACACCTATCGGCTATATGCTAATTCTTTTTGTACTGGTTGGGGGAGAGGCCAGAGCCCCCTCAGGGCCACATGTATGCCTTTTTTGGCTTACTTAATCTTTGCACGCTTAATTTATTCAGTTCATTGATTGCCCCACTCAAGATCGATACTGACTTGATCGTCAGAGGGTTCACCGGAGCACCCATCTCCGGTCCTCTAACATAATTAATTTGTATCTTTGTTATCCTATAGGGGATTGGTCGTCTAAAGAAGATGAGGGGACCTCTACATTGTCCATATCTATCCTAAGCCCAGTCGCTGATTCGGGATTATCCTCTAACCTCGCTACCGAGTTCTCGGTCATCAACACTGACGCCCACCATGGGGCTCATCATATCTTTTTCAAAAGAGCACATGATCTCCTATATTCAAGCTTACAAGATGGGAAGTTATCATCGCCATTCAAAATTCACGACAGTCAAGAAATTCGACAATAAAGCTAAGACGCCAGGTTTGCCATTAAACACAGACGTGTTGGCGGATATCTCTCCAAGATATAGTCAACTTAAAATACTGCTATAAATGAGAGATATTTTTTGTGTTATTTACTAACATATACGCAGCCTTCGCACTTGATCTTCAACGACTCGGTCAACTTCGACAAAAGACCTTGGCGTAATTTTCATGAATAAGCCCAAAGCGTGTATGCAAGACATTGGTATTCTTTCAGAGTAAAACCAAGACATGCCATCGACACAAAGACCTTGGTATCATTTTCATGAGTAAAACTCAAGGCACATACCTCAGAACTTGGTATCATTTTTATGAGTAAAACCCAAAGGACGCACAAAAGACATTGGCATCATTTTCATAAGTCTAAGGCACATACTTTAAGACCTTAGCATCATCGCGAGTAAACCTAAGGCACAGAGTCGACTTCGACAAAAAAGACCTTGCAATCATTTTCATAAGTCCAAGGCACATACGTTAGGACCTTGTTGTCATCGCGAGTAAACCCAAGGCACAGAGCCGACTCCGATAAACAAGACCTTGGCATCATTTTCATAAGTCCAAGGCACCTACCTCTAGACCTTGGTGTTATCGCGAGTAAACCTAAGGCACGAAGCCGACTCCAACAAAAAAGACCTTAGCATCATTTTCATAAGTCCAATGTACGTACCTCAAGACCTTGGTGTCATCGTGAATAAACCCAAGGCACGAGCTTGAGTTGTCCCGCTCGCCATACACAAAGCAGAGTCACCTCGACTCGAGTATATGTGAAAGCAAAGTCCTACTCGGACCAAGCAAATTGCAAACTCTTAACACAAGAATGCAATCTCAAAGGTACACAATTCAAATTGATAAAATAAATCTTTTTTATTCATATACTTAGAAATATTTACAGTACAAAAGGAAGTGAGAAATATTTACAGTACAAAAAGAAGTGCTAACAACAAAAAGGAGATACATTAGGGCCCCTAAGGGGTCAGACTTGGAAGAGATGCAGATGGAACAATACTAGGGCCAGGAGCAAGAGTCGGACACGTAGGAGCAGTGACAATAGAAGTTGGCAGAGGAGTCGATTGGACCTCAGTCTCGACCTCCTCGCTTTCTTTCTCTTTAGGCTGACTCACCCAGCTGTCACGAGCTGAGCTGTAGCCTGCCTTCTCGGCTGATTCTTTGTCATCCTCTTCACTGCTCCTGCAATCAAGAATGAGCCCCCTCCTTACTTCTCTATCTCCTAGAGCGCTCCAAGGTAATTAGCTACCCTTGGAGGATAGTGGAAGCGGTCAGGATCGCTTCGGAGGTCAGCTGAAAGCTGCGCCTCGAGATAGCTGTAGCCGGCCTTGCAAGCTAGCACCACATCCACCTTTCCGAGAGTGCTGTGGCGATAGCCCTCATCAATCTCGAACTGACGAGCTTCAGATTCCAAATGAGCAAGGTGGCCCTACGGTGCCTAGATTTCAATGAGGGACGACTCACGTTGAGTGCTCTCTTGCCTGAGCTCTTCATGAACAATCTGCTCCTCCTTCAGCTGGACTCGTAGGCTCTTAGCATCCAAGTGATCAGCTCAAGCCCGCTCGAAGGCATCGTGCCTCTCTCACCTCTCTATCTCGACCTCCTCAGATAAATATCTTATTTTATCATCCCGTTCACGGAGATCATGCTTAGTATGGCCAAGGTCTTCCTGAAGCTTGTTGATCTCGGCTGACTTCTTGTTGTTTGAAGTCTTCAGTCCATTGATCACCCTCTCCTGCATCTCCATCTACTGGCGCAACTTGTCCTCGCCCTTCTCTAAATTGCTAGCTCATCCTCCATCACCGACAGCGTCAAGAGAATTCTTTCATGAGCTGCTCTCTAGGCATTCAACTCATCTTGGAGCCTGAGGTAGGAGGTTCAGACATGCTCGAACCAGCCAAACATCTCATGTTCCACCAGAGCTCCTCAAATCATGTAGCCTTTCAGGCACTGGTGGAGGCCAACATCCAGCATCTCGCCAAGGATCTCGTCATTGTGAGGCAGATAGAACTGCTTAACCACTATGGTCTAAGTGAGTCGAAACTCTAGAACTAACCCTTTCTTGTCACCAGGGTTCAAATTTGAACTCCTGGAATGGCTCCTTCTCATAGCGGGGACCAATTCTGGAAGACACTATCATTAGTATCTTCATCTTGCCCTACTTCTCTGCATCAAGCTCATCAATACGATAGGGGTACGACCATCCGAACCCCTGAATAGGAGGCAACCCTTCAGTAGCTAGCTCTTTCCCCTGCCGATGGGTGGACTCGACAGGCATATCAAGGGCCACCTCACCCACTATAGGGGCCTCGGCCTCTTCGACCTCAGTCATAGTGATTTCAACCCCCTCTCCTCTAGCACGGGACCTATTGTCAAGGATGACGACATCAGCTTCATGGGCGGGAACGGCAGCAGCATCCTCCCCCACTGCTTGAGGCGATGAGATCTTCGCCACTGATTGACTTGCGGCAACCTTTTGATCAATAGGGAAAGCACCCATCTCCCTGACAACTTCAACTCTATCTTTAAGAGCCGTAGGACTCCTAGAAGGGACTCAGCTGCCCCTTTCTTCAACTGTATTTTCTTCTTTTCAGACCTTTCAACCTGAACTGTAGCAGCACTTGACCCGACCAGTCGAGCTACTATTTCAGCCACATTAACCGCGCCCTCTCAGCCTCCTCAGTGGCCAAATTAGGACAAAGACTCTTCTTTGGCCTCACTAAGGGCCCTCCTCGAGCTTGAGAAGGCAGAACCATCGATGCCATCTCGATCTCCTCCGAACCTATCGTCAGCCTCACTGACTGTGCCCCATCATCTGTGATTGGAGGAACTGAGAATACGCCGACAACCTGCAGGATCGAGTTGTCAAAGAAGTTCTCGATTCGACAAAAACTTGTATAGGCCCTACACCTGTCAAGCGCACGTTTCTTGTCACTCGACAATAGACCCAGCCTCAAGGCATGCTTATTAATCTCAGACCACCAGCCCAAAACAGCATCAGTGCTGAACACCCATATGAACCGCCTCCATCCAGTCCTTATTGACTCGGGAACGTTGGAGACGATCTTGTTTTCCCCTAGGTGCTGGAGGTACTAATGGCCTCCTACTAATTCACTTCACAAAGATGAGGTGGCCAAGGATTGTCGGAGATAGGTCGACTCTCAACTAGTTGCAGATGACAACAAACCTCACTAGAGTAGCGATGGAGTTCGGCTTCATTTGCTAAGGAGAGACCAGCAGAATCTCAAAGATGCGGCGGAGGAAGAGGTGCACCAGCAGGCGCAATCCATACTCCACGTGTTTGAGATACACTGGAGTGATGTTGTCACCATGATCGTAGATCGCCTGCGTACACACCCGGCACCATAAGGGTAAATGCCCTGGGAATGTTATACTTACCGTACAGGGCCTCCAGCTGCGATGACGGCACTTTGGAGTGAAATCTCCATAGCTAATTGATCCAAATCTCATTTCGAGCAGTAGAAGATGTAGATGCCATCAAGTTGAAAGTTCGCCAAAGAAGAAAATGTGAAAAAGATCAGAGTTCTTCAATGATAGAATGAGAGTTTGGAGTTTTAACAGTAAAATCTCCCTCATCACAGCAGTCGTACTCATAGACAGAATGGTCAACAGGTGGCAAGATCACAACGGTCGACTTGGTTCTTAACCAGTGGCCAGGATCGTTCCCAGAATATGAGGCGACTGCTCGAGAACAGAAGCTCCTCTTGTCTTAATTAGCTCACAGTCCTTGCTTAAGATTCAAGGTTGCGGCTGCGGAAGATCCTCTTTGACGTCAGCAACATCACATCAGAAGAGACTCTTCAACAACCCCTCATAAATACACCTTGGGGCCCGGCCAGTGACAGTTTTATTTCAATCGGATTCAGCCACACCGAGTTCGAGCGAAGGGGCCAGTGTTATGTCAACAATTAACCTAAGTGCTAATCCTTCTTTTGGAGTCAACATGTGTTCCATATTAGCACTAATCATCAGATCAGCTCACCCCCAGCCGGAGATGACTTGGGTAGCATGGGCACTCATCCCTGTTTGCGTCAAAAGTTGCTTCCATTGATAATTCTATTAAACTTCGATCGTTTACAACGAATTACAATGAAAAAATTAGAAAATTACAACTCTTGAGAAACTAACACAGAAGTCGTTTATCGAATCCTGTTTTTGTGGGACTTTGCCTGTGCCGAGAACGCTTTGGTTCGTGGACCGCCGAATCACAGATCGTGAAGGGGGTTTACTGATTCTGACTTCGTTTATCGAAGTGAGAACTTGAAACGATATCTTATCAAAGTAAGATAGTCGTTCTTCTTAAAATCAAGTCAAAGCTCAATTTCAAGGAGTCACACGAAAACTCAAATCTGCTCTCTCTGCTCTGGATTGCTCGAAAATATGCTCGATCCTCGTCAGAAGTGACCCTAGGGGGGTATTTATAGCCTCAGGGGTCTGTAACTGAAAAAACTCAACAAACGACAAAATTAGTACGGCGAGACAGTGTTTACTGTCTCGGCGGGCGAGACAGTGTTTGCTATCTCGGCCCGCGAGACAGTAAATACTGTCTCGGAAACAGTAACCGTCAGGCAGTTTTCATTTTAACTGCCTTCCCACGTTTCAAACTCTGTTATTTTGGCAGTTATCCACGTGATTTTCACCCACGATGCTTCCCACGTCTCTTGGCAATTGATAGACACGTGTAGGGTAGTTATCGAGGTGATTTTGACCATTTCAATACTGTCTCGCTGGCGAGACAGTAAACACTGTCTCGCTGGGCAGTTATCCACGTGATTTTCACCCACGATGCTTCCCACATCTCTTGGCAGTTGATGGACACGTGTAGGGCAGTTATCGAGGTGATTTTGACCATTTCGACACTGTCTCGCTGGCGAGATAGCAAACACTGTCTCGCCGTGAGACAGCAAACACTATCTTGCGGTAAGACATCTCGCTGCGAGACAGTAAAGTCTGTCTCGCTGGCGAGACAGCAAACACTGTCTCGCTGGCGAGACAGTTCATATCTGTCGATTTCTTTTGAATGATTTTCTCTATGTTTGGATATCTCTTAGCATTTTTTGATGCCTACAGATACCCCCTCCAAAGTATTCCAGACTCATTCTTTTATAGAGGAGCCTGGGATACTTTGGATAAGATAGGTTTTACTTACGATCCCTTCAATGCTCGGCTGAGTAGATCGTGTGGAAGGACTTGTAAATGGCTTCAATGCTTGATCTCTTCTGCAGTTCTTTGTAGAATAGCTAATACTTCTCCGGCACTGCGTTTATCGCTCGACCGTTGTTGAGATCTTGAATTGAAGTTGGTATTTCCAGATTGATGCTCGTTTGTCTCTCAAAAGTTCGTCAGGTTATCCTTAAGAATATTCAGATTAATATTCTCCAGAAACTTCCTGTTGAGGGTAGGAATACAGTTTAGACTCGTGTACCCATTGGAGTATCCCTCTGTATCGCATTTGGGCTTTTGACTAAGCAAATATCCACTGTCTCATGCTATGAGGTAGTGTTTGTTGTCTCATAGTGCGAGACAGAAGGGTTTGCTGTCTCGCTCAGCGAGACAGAGTTTTCTGTCTCGCTCGACGAGACAGCGTTTTCTGTCTCGCTCAGCGAGACAGCGTTTTCTGTCTTGCTCAGCGAGACAGCGTTTTCTGTCTCGCGCTGCGAGACAGTCAGTATATAAGTCGGACTTAGGGTTTTTTGATCTTTTCACGTCGGGTTTGGGGCGATTTCTGGCGACTCTCCGACGATTTTCCGACTTTTTTCTGCAAGTTCTCGGCTTCCCTTTGCTCTCTTCGTTTCTGATTTGAGTGGGGTTGTTGTTTGGGGATAATCAACTCGGATTTCAAAGGTTCGTTGACCCTCTTCTCTTTCAAATCTTGATTTTCTTCTCCTTCACGTTTGCATGCACTGTTTCAACTTTTCACGTGGGGTTTGGGGCGATTTCTGGCGATTCTCCGACGATTTTCCGACTTTTTTCTGCAAGTTCTCGGCTTCCCTTTGCTCTCTTCGTTTCTGATTTGAGTGGGGTTGTTGTTTGGGGGAGACTTTACTCGGATTTTGAAGGTTTGTTCACTCTCTTTCTTTAAAAATCTCAACTTTCCTTGACTGTGACTTTGCATGCAATGTTTCTGGCGCATATTGTGATGTATTTGAGTGTTATCCTTGTTGATTCTGAGCTCGAAACCCTAATTTTCTTATTGGGTTTCAATGTAGTTTGCGCACTCATCATGTCGCCGCGTCGATCCAGAGGTTCCCGAGGCCGTTCGACTGCTCAGTCCCCTGAAGAGGCTGCTCCTGTTGCCGCTTCGCATGGGGGTACGTTTCTTTCACCCTTTCACGAATTTAAATACTGTATTTCGTCAATTTCATATATATGTACCTGTATTTGCATGCAGATCCTCGTTTGTATCCTTTGAGATACCCTCGAGAAGAGCCGGTATCCTCCTTTGAGGGGATCGACGCTTAAAAGTGTTTGTTTTGCTTGGACAAAACACACTTCATAATACACAGGGGCGATTTCATATCATCCCACGTGTGTTGAAAGGTTTTGATATGCCGTTATAATGTCCGTGCATAGTAACGCATATCTCCTTTATACATATGGTAGATGGAAAATCGTCACACCTGTTATGAGATAGCGACTATATCTTATGGAGTAAGATATACCGTTTTCTCTAAAATTTTAGGACTATACTTACACAGCTTATGTGTATCTCCTGTATCAGTCCATTTTCCTGCCACAATCTTCACCGTCGATGCAGTTACGGGCCAGAGTAGTGTCACTCATTCTTATTATGAGGGGATACCGTTAATCGAGTCTGCTCCTCAGTTCAAGTCAGAGGGAGCTATCGTATCCTACGACGATTAATCACTGACGCAACCTTAATTTCGGAGCAGGACTCAAACCAATGTATAAGGAAACCAGACTTCTTATTTGGTGACTCCATAAAGGATCCGGCGATTGTTTTCTGCAAGCCTGCGCAGTGGTTACACGAGGATGGTTCGTCATTTCTGTACTTGCCTTTTATGTGGTTACACGAGGATGGTTCGTCATTCCTGTACTTGCCTTTTATCCCTCGAGAGCATTCACTGTTAAAGTTCAGGAACTTATCGGTTGGACGTGAAATGTTCTGGAGATTAACAGAAAACCACGAACGTATTCATTGTGGTTTCATCGGGAAAGAGGCTACTCCAGGTTCCAGTGAAAGAGCTTCTATACGAGGGCTTCATCCAGGTGTCTTAGGCCAAGACAATATACCTCAGAATGAAAAAACAGCGCAGGCCAACACTGTGAAGAATCGTTTGGCTGCAATGAAGAAGAAATTACCCCACGAGAGTTTCAGATGTTATGGATGGGTCCATTATTATGGGGATAAATGGTGGTGGACCAGAATGACTCGATATGTGTTGAACCGTTGGGGGCGAGAGTTAGCAGAACTAGGGTTGGAAGTCCCGATCCGTGCCAGCATGCATGGTCTGCAAATTAGTGTAGGTCATTTCCTCCGTTTGTTCGAGATCTATAATCCTGACACTAATACGTTCTTCACCAAGAACGGGGAGCTCGGGTTACCATTGCACGAAATGATGAAGGTGTCTGGCTTGCCCATAGGCGATGTTCCATATCAAGAGTTCTTCCCAACCACCAGTCAGCTTAATAAGATGAAGGATCGGTCATCTGTGACCCACGAGACTTTATGGGAGCTGACTTGTCATTATCATATAGCTATGGCTGAGATGGAAACCAAAGCTAGGAAGAAATCTCCCCAGGTCAGCTTAAAGCAATTCGCCGATTATCTATTCAAGAACCTGGAGGATCGATCGGGAGAGGTATGTGGATTATCTCCTTTGAGCCCGGGTGACATCAATCGGCTGTTGGAGAAAACAAACGCACAATCTTACACTTCTCATTCAGAAGATGGGTTTTCGCACGGAACTAAATTCCGCCCTTATCTGTGGCAAGCTAGTGTTCCGATTCGCCCCACTACTCTGCTGGCTGGCTTTCTGGCCATATGGTTGAAGAGATGTGTAGTTCCTCACCAGTCATCCGACGCTATGCCAATGGAAGTGTTGTATCCAGCCGTCCAGTTAGCCACAGGTCGCAGATTATCCTTGCTTCCTGCTATGGTGGCGGCTATTCACAGTGGGTTACGGCAGTTAGTTTCCGCATTCACGCAAGAGAAAAAGAAACCCTCTGCCAGTATATCTGTTCCGAAACTAGAATTACCCTACACTTATTTGATGACATGGTTGGTTCTGCACCGGCCAGATTTAATGGAAGCTCCTGAGACGGTGGATCCTAGTCTTCCTCTTTTACAGACCCTTGAGGGTTGCAAATGGATCAACCATCGATGGCCGGACATAACGAGGCAGTTCAAAATTCATAAGTGTTGGAAATTCTTCCCTTGCTTCCCTCGGTTCTCCGGCACTTACAACACAACTTTATTGGATGCTGAAGACCCGAGGCAGAACCGTACTGTTCTAGATGTCGGATGTTTCAGATGGCTGATGAATATCCGACCTGGATATCTGTTGTTCAGGGTAAGGGACGTTTGCCACATTGAGCCCTATCTTCCATGTCGATTTGCCCGTCAATTCGGCTATGACCAAATTTATATCGGCAACCCGAATCGTCACCTTAGCTTTCGAGGTGGACTTATTGACGGGGCGAGAGCTTGGTTTTGGAGTATTGCCGGCTGCACAAATGTTAAATTCGATCTCCCTTTAGAGCGCCTCTACGGATGACCTTCCTCTTTTGTAAGTGGTTGATTGCCGCTAATATCGTCACTCGACGTGGGAGAGTATCGGACTCAGAGGAAGAGGCAGCTCCGCAGCAAGCGACAGAGGCGACTCATGAGGCTATGGTGTCGACTCGAGGAAAAGAGGCTGCTGAATCCTCGAGAAAAGGAAAGGAACCGGTTCTTCCAGCTGGTAGTGAAGAGGAATTTGATAGTGAGGAAACGGAGACTTCTGAAGAGGCGGGTGAGACTGGCTCGAGTTCTGATGAAAGAGCTGGTCTCCCTGATTCTTTCTTTGAAAGGGGACTTGTAAGACATTCCGTCGCTTCGGCCCAACCACAAGTTGCTCCGAAAAAATGGGGAGAGAGAGTCGTCATGACCTATCCTAATCGGATGACGGTAGACGTTCTCAGTGGAGACGAAGAGGATGAAGAGGATACAGTGCCTCTTG